AGAATCCAGTTGCATTGAACCATGTCAGATTATGTGATGTCGAATTGCTATAATTTTGTACATTGGATACAAAATCATCTGGGAAGCTATCATGCCGGAAAATCACAGCATAGGATATTGTTGGCATAAAATCTCAGCCCAGTGTGCAATTATTGTGCATCATTTTCCAAAGTAACTCATCTGATTCTGTCAAGAGAGGATTTCTCATTATCATAAATAGGTTGCATTTAAAAAGAAAGCCCTCTGATCATAAATCTTAGCAGAAACAAAAGCTCTGGAGGAGAGCATTAAAAATCCCTATGGGCATTTTAAGCCCCTTTAAAAAAATTAGGCATGCTAGCTCCTTTTTCTAAACTCTTGATTCCCTTAGGAGAAGGTTGTGATGTGCTGATTTTGGGGAAGGTGTAATTAAATCTGACCCCTTGGATTCTTTCTTCCAATTTATGATATTTAACCGACTCTCTGTATGATGTTATACAAATGTCTTTGTTTTCTTAGGGACAAGTTTTGCATTTAATTAAGCTGTTGTGAAACTTGCCTCTTGCTTTCTCAAGCTACATTAGGCTGGAAAAAGACCATTTAAGGGCAAGTCATTAGGCCTGGTCAATCCAGGGTTCTAAATGGTTCTAAAATACTTACAGAACTAAATTTCTGGTGGTGAAAATTTCAGAACTCTAACAAAACTCTCAAAATTTCATTATAAATGGCAGTTTCTAATTGGTTCTATCATAAAAATCACCAATAATGAAATAATAATTAAATTTTGAAAGTTTTGTTAGAGTTCTGAAATTTTCACCACCAGAACTTTAGTTTTAAGTACTTTAGAACCATTTAGAACCATGGATTGCCCAGGCATACAAGTCATGTTCTAATTCTGAGTTGAATGAAAATCGTTTTAGGACAGCAAATGGAAATAAATACCATAATCTTGCCAGGAACTTCTCCTGTGTGTCTTAATAAACTAGATACGTGTGCATTTTTAAAATGATTGATGTGTTGTTGAAAGCTTTCATGACTGGAATCACTGAGTTGTTGTGAGTTTTCTGGGCAGGATGGCCATGTTCCAGAAGCATTCTCTCCTGACGTTTTGCCCACATCTATGGCAGGCATCCTCAGAGGTTGTGAGGTCTGTTGGAAACTAGGAAAGTGAGGTTTATATATCTGTGAAACGTCCAAGGTGGGAGAGAGAACTCATGTCTGTTTGAGGCAAGTGTGAATGCTATGATAGTGTTTCATTTTGGGCTTACCCAATGGAAATTCATAGCAGATTTCACTCACAATGTTGTACACCAAACAGTTCATTGAAATAAGAGACAATGACTACAGACCCTAAGTTTTAAAAGAGCTTAGGAAGGTCTATGCACTCATGTATCTTGTTCACCTATTATTCAGATAGGACCCTTCAGGGGTTTATTATAACCAGTTTAGTCTTCAGCCTTGTTATTTTAAGAGTAAGAGTAATTAACTTTGAAGTATGATCCAGCGCTAGAGGAAAGAGATTCCCAATAGTTTTATTGTGACTTCAGTGTCAAATCTGAAATAATAAAAGTCGGAATTTGAGCTTAATGTCGGTCTGACAGACTGAGGTGGAAGGTGCTCTTTAAGGAGTAAATATTCAGTTGAATTATAAGTAAAGTGAAGAAACCATAAGATTAAAGTGATCCAGTCAAGAGACTGAGAGTGAAACTAAGTTTTAAAGAAAGTAAACCGCAGACATTAAGGTGGCAGAAGATGAACCATTCTTAAAGATTAATAGTAATCGTTTCATGTTTTCATAAGAACAAAGAGTTAACTGTAGCAACAAGAAGAAGATACTGTGTTACCGTCCAACTTGTGTGAACCTGGATATTCTTTAAATAAATATTTTTCTGTTCAGTTCAAATACGGAAGACTTGTGTCAAATTATTGATGAAAAGATTCTCCACAGAAGGGAAGCTGAAGATCCTGTGGAGCTGAATACAGTTTTGTGGTATTGGGCCACACATATTAAAGAGGCACAAACAGGTATTTTAAAAGTCATCTCTCTCTCTCATACAAGCTTCACTCATCTCATATATATATATCAAGCCTCAGCAACACACACCTCCATTATCTTAGTCTCCTCCTCACCCTGGATATATGTGTGTGCGTGTGTGTGTGTGTGCATTTGTTATTTGTTTATCAGTCCTCTTTTACAGATGCCTTTATCTCTCTCACAAAGGATCTCAGGAGAGTATGGTTTAAAACAATAATGGCATTGTACAAATATGAAACAAGAGGCATAAAACCAAGTGGTATAAAACCTGTAAAAACATAATGATCCTCTTTTAAAATCTGTTGTCTGTGACTTTCTGGGTACACGTAAAAGTTATATGTTTACATAGGGCACAACTATAATTGCTCTTAAGTCAGTTTCAAATAGGTATTGAAGAAACTGGTTTTGCTGTGCTGATTATTGCATAGGAAATCCAGGAACCAGTTTGAGGCCCGGATGGAGATTAAGTGCATTTTCTTGGGAGTTTGTTGTTTAACCAACACAGCCTGAAGCTAGATTCAAACTGCATTAAATGATCAGTGCAAATGGGACCATAGTTTCAGAGTGGTTTGTGTGAGATATCTTCCCAGTGGGCTATCCTCCCAATGGTAGTGTCAACTGGATGAAAGCTTAGGTTTATTGGAGCATACTCACATGGCAGTTCTACTTTAACTGAAATTCATGGAGAATTTTAAATATACATACTTTTTCTCCAAGTACTTTATTTTTTCCACATGATGAAATATTTTACACTGTTGGCAGAAGTGGACATGGATTTAGCTAAGGTAAGGATATATTTAGACAAGGGAAGTATGCAGGAAAAAACGGCAGGAGCACAAATGTCACAGAATTCTACAATAAGCCTGATTTTGCTGAGAACACTTTCTGCAAACATGAAGTTAAGTTGGTTCCCTTTGTTGGAGGGTTTGTTAAATATTAGCTAAAGAATGTTATGGCCCTGACTGCACAGTATGAAGCCTAATTCCTCTCCTTTCTGGAGCCATTGCATGGGGTGTTTAATTTTCTTCTCTCGATGGGACTGCAAGCTTCCCCAGTACTCCAGCCGAAAGCACTCATATTTTAGCAGGCTTAGTCCTAACCTGGTTGCCAGGCAGTTAAGTGGACACTTGTGCTCTATGGTGATGTTGGTGGTGGTAAGGAGGTAGGAGTAGGAGAAATGTTGTGCACTGCAGCGACTCACCAAAGGCCTGTTTCCAAATTGCCTTGTGTAATCTTCAGATATCAGAAGGCTCAACTACCCTGCCTCAAAGAGTTTCCAGGAGTGTTTTGTTCCGATTGTATTTGCATATATTGTATTTCTCTGTCCCTCCCATGTGCCCTTCTCCTTCCGTGTAACTATTGTTAACATCTAATCTCATACAATACTTCAGAAATTATTTTTATCAGTTTCCACTAAACCTTTTTTTATTAATTAGAAGTGATAATTAAAGTGCTAAAGTGCTCTAGCAATATTATACAAAATGTGATAAAAAGAAGTCCACGTAGACTCCCACAATATCTGGTGCAAGGAACTTGAGTTCTACAATGCTTTTGCTGCCATGCCCAAACAGAAATAATAAGAGATATAATTTATCACACAGCCTCAACCACAAGAAACAAGAGGCTATACACAGTCCCATGAATGACAATCCTAATATTGTCATCAACGAGGCTGACAAAAGAGGAACTGTAGTCATCATGGATAAATATGGTTACATAAAGTAGAGATGCAACTTTCCATCACTACATTTTACAGAGTTCTGTCGAATAATCAAAAGGAACCACACAGAACACACACAAGGATTTTCCCAAGAAGTTGCAGAAGAAAATACATAAACAAAGCAACCCTGGATGGCCCATTTTCTTAAGCACTGGAACACACACACTGCCTCTAGTTATATCAGTGCTTCCCTACTTTTTTATGACCAGGGACCACTTTGACCAGGAACCACTCTCCAAATTAATACCAAAAGGATTACAAATCAGGTTTTGGTCAACTTTAGATTTAGTTTGGTTATTTGGGTGCTGATTCAGACAATTGCATTGGATAGACCAACATTCAATTTTTGATCCAGCAGCTGAAAGATCTGAGAAGATCCGGTTCACTGGCAGCAATGGGGGAAGTTCCTAGGCTACCCTTTCCATCCTTTTTTCTCCTCATATCCTTCAATTTTATTAGACCTTGGTTTAACTACCTCTTCACATGTGGCTGAAATTGGTGGCAAGTGCTGGTTTAGTCCAGTTCAGCCATGGAGTCTGCTGGCTCCCATCAAATGACACCAGTGTGGCTCCATGGGTGAAGAAGGGCGGAGCTGATACATGCCTCCACCATGGCAACACGGGAGGCTTCCCATATTGCCATTTGAATCTATGGGGGGAAGCTGTTGCACTCCATCCTTTCTCATATGGGAAAGTGTCGGGGGGGGGGGACTTGACACCACTCACCACCTGGCTCCTCTAACTGATCCCATAGGTGAAAGGATGGAGCGCAACAGTTTCCTCCTATAGATTCAAAAAGCCAAGCAAATCTGGCGGCCAGCTGGCAGTGTGACAAGGTGGTAAGGCATCAGACTTATGAAACCACCCTTTCTGGGATCCTTTCTCCTTATATCCTTCAATAACAGCTGGGTTTTAGGCACACTTATTTCAGTGAGAACCACACCACCTGAAGGAGCATTAGCTAGCCATTCTTTTAAAAAGATATAAATTATCTTCTCATTTTATGGAAGGAAACCCCATGCGGATGCGCGGATGCCTCTCCGTGTTTCGTGCGTAGCCGAATGAAACTGAAAGTAGCTGTGGTGGGCAGCCGCATGGTCTGTTACGGCCGGAAAAAAGTGGCGGCAGAGCCTATGCCATTACAGCTGGCCAAAACAGCCAGAGCCCATTTTTAAAAACAGATCCATGCACAGACCTATTGTTTAGCCAAATACCATAATTCAATTTGAAATGTTAATGTTTCTACTTTGGATATTTTGCATGACAGGCTCTTTGCAGTGAAGTGCAGCAACTGCTTTGAAGCAATTTCCCCCAGTCAATTCGTCATGCGAGCCCAGAAAAATGTGTATCACGTCGCCTGCTTCTGCTGTGGTGTTTGTGAGAAACAGCTTCAGAAGGGGGATGAATTTGTACTGAAGGAGGGGCAACTACTATGCAACAGTGACTATGAGAAGGAGTGTGAACTGCTCAGTCTAGTGAGCCCAGCTGCATCTGATCCAGGTAAGTAGAAAGTAAGCATTTCACCTCTTGCTGTGTGCACTGCAGAGTCTTTCTCCTGATTGGCCAGCTCTGAGAAGCTGGCTGGCATCTCCCAACCCAGGAGGCAGATCTTAGCTGGTGCACGCCATGAGTGGAGGCAGCGATGACGTAGCCGGAGATCTCCTCCCAGATGGGCAGGGAGGCAGGTCCCAGGGCTTCTAATAGGCTGGCGGAGGTGGTCCTGGGGGGCAGTGAGGTCCCTAGGGATCAGTCCAACCCTTAGATGTGTAGCAATGGAATGCTGGAAAAGTCCGAAAGATGATTTGACAGGATTGTGCCGATATCGGACCCTGCTGGAGAAGACAATGGGGGTTGTTGTCCCAGACATCTTCCCATGTTGAGGAGACAAAGAAAGGATCCCAAAGATGTATATTATTGATGGGATCACAATCAAAATTTTATCCTGGACCTTTGTCCTGTGGATGGCTGAGATCTTCAAAGAAGAACTGCTGGGTAGCGGGCAGATGGGCTTCTGCTGAGATCCAGGAAAGTCCTTTGTCCCATAGCTTATGTCCCATCTCTGTTTCTCACACATATACATTTGTGTACCACCCCTCTCACCCCGAAGGGGATCCAGAGCAGTTTCACATATTGGCAGCAATTAGATGCCATAAAAACATACATACAATAAACAACATATACATTAAAACAAAAATTAAAAACATATCACATTAAAACAATTATAAAAATCCACGCAGTCCAAACTCATCATCTAAAGCCATTTTAGTCATTATTGAACGAATCTGTGTTCACTTATCGCATTAGAAGATTATTGTCCAAAGACTTGGCCCCTTTTGTCAAGCTCTTGATACCTAGCTCATGGATGTAACTTGGATCCTTTTTTATAATCTGGCCTTTGATTCTACTTCATTGCATGCTTACTTTGCTTATTTTAAATGATTTTTAGAAAATTGCTTGCACTATTTTGAAGCTGTAACCTTTTATATACTCCTTTCTTAATAAACTGATTATTATTTTGAACTGTGTGATGTCTGGGTGAAAAGGAATCAAGCAGGTGGCTGGGCAGCAACAATTTTAGCCTATTGACTTCTACCTTGCCTGGGAAGAAGGGAGAGAGTAAGATGTGCAATCTCTATTGAGATTTGCTGGTGCAGACCAGCTCAGGCTGAACAGCTGAGCTGTTTGTGTGTGTATCCTTCCATGTGCAGGGGCTTGGGGGACTATGGAGTGTGCACTGCTGCTGGTCTGTTGGAGGCTTGAGGGAGGTTGTAAGGACAGAATCATAGAATCAAAGAGTTGGAAGAGACCTCATGGGCTATCCAGTCCAACCCCCTGCCAAGAAGCAGGAATATTGCATTCAAATCACCCCTGACAAATGGCCATCCAGCCTCTGTTTAAAAGCTTCCAAAGAAGGAGCCTCCACCACACTCCAGGCAGAGAGTTCCACTGCTGAACGCTCTCACAGTCAGGAAGTTCTTCCTAATGTTCAGATGGAATCTCCTTTCTTGTAGTTTGAAGCCATTGTTCCGCGTCCTAATCTCCAGGGCAGCAGAAAACAAGCTTGCTCCCTCATCCCTGTGACTTCCTCTCACATATTTATACATGGCTATCATATCTCCTCTCAGCCTTCTCTTCTTCAGGCTAAACATGCCCAGCTCCTTAAGCCGCTCCTCATAGGGCTTGTTCTCCAGACCCTTGATCATTTTAGTCGCCCGCCTCTGGACACATTCCAGCTTGTCAATATCTCTCTTGAATTGTGGTGCCCAGAATTGGACACAATATTCCAGGTGTGGTCTAACCAGAGCAGAATAGAGGTCGTTTCTAGTTCATCTGGCCTTTGGTCCTTGGGAAACTCTAATTCCCACAGAGGTCGAACTATGTCTTCTTTTTATTAGGGGTGGGGCTTTGGATTATTGATAACATCCCCTCCCTCCTTGCCATGTCTGTATCACTCCACTCCCGTTCCCTTTTCTTCCTATCCATCTCTCCAAACCCCTTTCCCCTTCCTATTGAAATCTCCCTCACCCCTGTAGCTCTCCTCCTCTCCTCTCCTTCATGTCTGTCACCACTTTTAATTGTCCTGGCTCAATGGCATACGATGCTGGGACTTGTAGTTTGGTGAGGCAGCAGCATTCTTTGGAAAGACCTTGTAAAACTACAGCTGCCAGGATCCCATAGCAATCAACCAGGGCAGTTAAAATGGTGTCAAATTGCATTCATCCCACAGCATAAGTACACCTCAAGGAAGCTGGGGCAGGATAAACACTACAGAAGGGAAGGGTTATTTCCTTCTATAGTTTTCTTTTCAATTGCTTGGAGACTTTGGAGATTTTTTTTTTAAAGGATTATAATCACACAAGAACCTGTTTTTTGGACCGAATTACAAAGAGTGCACTTTTTTCTGTTCCAACTTACAGACGAATTTAACTTAATAACAAATCTAAAAATCTATCTTGTTTGTAACTTGGGGGCTGCATGTACTCAGCTTGTATTATGTACAGCAGAATCTGCAAAATGGTGCCATCTACTGGTAAACAGGTGGACTTATAACTGTAAAATAGATTTGCAAATGGAGATAAATTTATTTGACTTGTTGAATTGTATTGTCGAAGGCTTTCATGGCCAGAATCACTGGGTTGTTGTAGGTTTTTCGGGTTGTAGGGCTATGTTCTAGAAGCATTCTCTCCTGACATTTCGCCTGCATCTGTGGCAAGCATCCTCAGAGGTTGTGAGGTTTTGGGGATGTACCTTTTGTGGACACACTGCCTTTTTTTGGAAAGGCATGACCTTTTAGAGATCATAACCTTTTGGAAAACCAGGAATCTCCATAGCCTTTTGGAAGCGTGGCCCTTTTGGAGATTAATTCGCATTCAAACTATTTGGAATAATCATAATCTTTTGGAAAGTATGATCTTCCTAAGAAGAGTTAAATACTTGTTTGAGTGAATATTCTTCTTAGTGGTAAATATTCACTAGTATTCATGCAATGCAAATTAGGTTTCTCAGTTGTTAGGCTGATATACCTGGTTATTCTCTGAACTGTTAGGAACAAAGATATACCAATACACAAAATATATAGCAGATCTTCAGAAGTGTTATTTCAGTTGCCCAAAAAACATCTAGTCTCCCCTAAAATATATTACTTTTTAAAAATCATGCTCTCAAGAGATCAAAGATAAGTAGACTTCGCTAAAAGTAACATAGTTGATTTACTTACAAACTTCATGTATTCAGCATACAGGTACATTCCTTATCGGTTGAGAGTATAAACAGTAAGTTTTTCAAAGCATTCTGTTTCAGTCTCTTCTTTATTGCATACAGATTAACACCGTCTTCAGTTTAATACATTTCTGAACATTGACTCAATAAAGCTGACTACTCACTCTAGAATACTGATACTAACTTCTTCATACGAACACTGATGACTTCATAAACTGTACTGACTTCTGGTGCAAACTGGCTTCCAAAAGGGAGTCTCAGCCTGAATAGTCCCAGATCTGGTCACATGGTCTGCAGTCCCTCCCAAAACCTAAAACAACATAGTTAAGGAAAAACTGCATATCAATATATACATAGAATAGAGTAAGCAATTACGATTATATACATACCAAATAATTAGTATAGGAAGCTTATAGAAGGTTGCTATTTCCAACAGCCCCCGAGCTGGCTTTGAATTGGATTATAGTGTTATGTGTAGAACCGCCTTGAGATTACATTTTCTTATACTGATCCTTTTGGGTATGACATTCATAACCAAAACTTGACTAAAATTTGGATGTGGTGCCCCAAATATAATATCTCCCTCAAAAAATACATTTGTTTTGTCAAGTACATGTCCAGTTTTTCATATTTTATAGAGTTGACAGAATCAGTGCCCTCCATAATAATTTGATTTGCATATATCCACTCTGTCCAGAGCTGACATTAGTTACACTGTCAATGGTTCAATACTGGAGCCCCATCTACACTGCCATATAATGCACTGGGATAAAAAGCAGAGAACAGTTATCCTACCTTTATCATCATATGGAGACATCTGATGATTGTCATGTTGGAGCATGTAAAAATCAGTTGGTGAGTGTGTTAAATGAAAAATGCAAAGCACAAAGGTGATTGGTTAAGCTACACCTGGGATGTTAGCTGAGCCTGGGAGTTTTGGCAACAGTTACATGTTTAGTTTTTCTGTGCAGGAGCTTGCCAAGACAACTTAGTACAGTGTTCCCTTGCTACTTTGTGGTTCGCTTTTTGAGGACTCGCTGTTTCACGGGTTTTTGCCTCCTGGCAATGACAGAGTGTGGAAAGGGGTTTCACCCTCCCCATGGGAGAGAGGCAGCCAGTCATAAAAAGAGAGAGAGAGAGAGAGAGGAGATACAAAGCAGTATGTAAATCACAGCCTTATAATGCCTTCCCTAAATCTCTCCTCACTTCTGCCTCACCCTTTGAGAGATATATATATATATAAAAAATAATCTCTGCATTGCGGATTTTCACTTTTCGCTGGTGGTCCTGGAACGTAACACCCATGATAAGTGAGGGAATACTGTATTTCTGCTTCTGGGCTGCTGGAAGGAGATCTTTCACTTGGACACCCAAGGACCATTTGAATCTCTCTCAAAAGACATTGTGTGAGTCAGTGCAACTGTTCACATAACTATATATATTTTGCTCTGCATAACAAAGAGTAAACAGCTTATTCTTTACTGATCATTTGCATGGCATATCTTTTCTTTAGCAAGACAGTGTGTGGACATGAACTATGCATGATTTTCATTCTGCCAAATACTGAAATAGAACTTTTATCTGACTGCAAGATAATTCTAATGTTTCTGAATTATAAGTTATAGCCTTTCTACAACTTACAAAGTCACTTCCTATGACATTAGAAATTAGCCTTGCTGTGTTGAACTGAATTTACTTACTGGAATGTTTCCACAGTGCTTGTCTCTCACACACATATCTAAGCTTGACATTTTATGCTGAATACATCACTGTCCTGTCTATTATTGTATTGCATTGTCCTAGTTTGCTCAACGATGTTTTGAGGACCTTCAGAAGATGAGTTTTCCAAATAAATAAGGAGGTGTTTGTATCTACCAGAAAGCTCAGACCTTTGACACCAATGACATTTAACTGGCTGCATCATCAGGTTGTGAAATTATATTTGTGATCAGCTGGTTATGTATCTTTAGATTTTCCTTCAGCAATGCAATATAGCCAAGAGCCCAATGCAAATTTACAGCCACTTTATGAGAAAATACCTATAAAGCTCAAAGCAATGAAGACCATATGTTGCCCATAATCTACAAAGCTCTCGGTTCAATTACTCTTTTCTCTGAGCCCCAGTGGCCCAGCCTAAGTAAACAGGTGTCTGTGAAAGAGGAAACCTCTTTTCAATTAAAAGTGTACTAACACTTCCTCTTTCTTTAATGCCCTCAGACCAAATAATTTTTTCACCTCCGTGCATGGAACGAGTTTTTGATCATTTCCCCCCTGTTGAGCCTTAAGGTTGTACAGAGGTCAATTCAGACTATATATACTGCTTGTATTCGTTTCCCATATGACATCAAGCGAAATCCAAAGGCTAATTAATTCTTACCCTGTTCACTGAAAGCTTGAAGGGAAGAGTTAATTAAAAGCATTACCATGTTAATGCAGAATCATCTTTCCATCATTTGCAGAGATTTGATGAGCAGGTGTTTGAGGTGCAGGAGACTGGGCCACTTGCCTTTCATGGGGTCGGATTTCCCCAGTCTTCTCTGCACTTTTTCCCTTGGCCATTTTTCCTATAATACTTTTAAAATAATCTTTTACTGGCATGCATATTTTAAGTACATAAAACTACATTATCAGATTACAAAAAGAACAGCAACACAAACACATACACACAAGAAAAGAAAAGAAATCATAGCTAATGTCACAACCCACAAACTACACTGAATAATACCCAAAAGAATTATATGCTACTTTTAGCTTGCCAGATTGTGATTATAGATATGATACCAACTTTTTCTCCTCTATAGTGTATATGAATATATATACAACACAGTGCACATTTCTACTTTAAGCAGTTTTTCTACATATAAACACAGTTAACTTATTTTAACCAAAACCCAAAGTTAATGGAAGCCCAGTTTTTTTCTTCATGTATCCAGTCAAGTCTTCCTTAAAAATGTCTACTGCTTCTGAAGAAATGTTGTTAGTTTACCATCTCCTTCCAACTTGTTTGAAACCCTCAGTCCATAGTTGTGTAGATGTGGCTCTTAATGAGACATGCTGCATTATCACATGATGTCTATTCCCTCACCACTGGAGAAATTATATTGTTTAGCTAGTATTTCACTGCCTGACATCCGCTGTGGCGCAGCTGGCTGAGTGTCAGCTGCATTAAGATCACTCTGACCAAAAAAGGTCATGAGTTCGAAGCCAGCCCAGGTTGGAGTGGGTTTACAACCAATTGTGTGTAGCCTGTTGTCGACCTTTGCAACCCGAAAGACAGTTGCATCTGTCAAGTAGGAAAATAAGGTACCACCTTAAAGTGTGGGGAGGCTAAATTAACGGATTTATGAGGCCATAAAGAAGACTCCAGCAAAGCATTCCAGCGGGGAAGCATGCGGGGAATGCGGAAGTGCTTCATCAGCATCGCAGATGGACGATGAAAGCGACAGCTCCCCTGGTGGCCAGAAAAGTTAAATAGCCTCTGTGTATGTCTGTATATGTTTGTATGTCAAAAATTGGCATTGAATGTTTGCCATATATGTGTACACTGTAATCCGCCCTGAGTCCCCTGCGGGGTGAGAAGGGCAGAATATAAAAGCTTTAAATAAATAATAATGAATGGACCAAGTCATTGACATCTCCGGCCCATCATCTGTTTGGATAGCAACCAGCAAGCCAATGCCTTAAATAAAAAAAAAATAGCTTCCTAAGATCTACAGAGATACACACAGGAAAGCTTCAGCAAGCAAGAGTCCAAAAGTGGTAGGTTAAAACCTGGAATAAAACCATTCAACTTTGGAGAAGTATTATTCTTTGGTATCTTTTTCCAATTCAAAATTCAATAAGATGGCAGCTTAGATACTGCTTTTGGTTACAATACATAGCATCACAATGATGTGCTGCTTTTCATAGCCAGTGTTTATGATGTTGACTTCTTTAGCATCTTTTGCATTGACAGTATAATTGCGAGGGATTTCAAAGAAGAGTGCAGTTTCATCAGCAGTTCTAATTTGACTGAGCTCATGTGTCCTTTTGCTCCTTAGTTTGATCATACATTGCTGAAAGTTCATCAGCTTCTCTTGAAAGTCTGCAAGAATTTCGACAGAATGATGTTTGATAACCATCACAACATGTGAGTCTCTCACACCAGCCCCAGCAAACATTCAGTGCCGTTTATACACAAACAAGATACACAATTGTACATAGATAGAGGTATATATAGGCTTTGCCCCATCTTCAGCATCTTGGAGGCTGTGCTTGTTGCCGGCCACCAGGTGGTGCTGTTGCTCCATCTTCTCTGCCAAAGAGCTTTGTTTGAAACTTGATCCTTGTTTGAATTCATAATATGTTCTTTTCAAATAGCACAGGGCGTCATGCACTCAAATTCTAGAGTTTCCAATTTAGCTCTTCTTTGGGATGACTCTATTACATTTTTTTTCATTATCTGTCTTTTTATGTAATTTTGAATGTTCTTCAGTTATCTTCTCCTTCTTCAACCTTGAACTGTCATTGTAAAATTACCTCTAATTACTGCCTTCATAGTGTCTCAAATAAGTCTGGGCAATATTTTTCTGAACAAGGGCTGTTCTGTGAGTCATATTGTATGAATTCCTTTAATCTTTTAAGGTAAAAGTGGTGATGTAGAGAACCTGTGCAAAATGGAAGAAAAAACCAGGAATGTTTCTGAGGACACCAAGGATCACAAGCGACCCAAGCGACCTCGGACAATCCTGACAACACAACAGCGGCGGGCATTCAAGGCATCATTTGAAGTGTCTTCTAAACCATGTAGGAAGGTACACTTTAACCATTAGAAAAGAAGGAATTGTTGTCACTGCTAGGAGTAGCCTGTTTACACTAGGCAAAATCTCATTATGACTTTGTAGGCAGGTAAGGTACTCTGTTTTCCTAATGTATTAGATACTGAGCTCAAAAGGTGGTATACAAATTCCTGAACTTCACCAAGTAAAATGGAACACATCAAACAAGGATTTTGATTGTCAGGCCACACATCCCAAATTGGCAACAGAAAGGAGTGTACTGAGCCTCTAGTATGGGTAGATTGCCTGAATTTTGGTGAGAGCCCTAAGAAGTAACAGCAGATTTAGAGATTCTATGGCATCTCTTATGAATATTGGAGTATGTCTCAATATACAAAACTGTGTAGAATCAGGATGTTGATAATTGTGTTCTCCGTATTTCAAAAAATTATTTCTCTTCCAACCATTTCTGAAGGTAAGGGAAACACTGGCAGCTGAGACTGGCTTGAGTGTCCGAGTTGTACAAGTCTGGTTCCAAAATCAAAGAGCTAAGGTAAAATTATTTTTCTTACGCAATATACTATATTATAACATTATGCTATTTCAATGTAGACAGGCAGAAAAATCTGTCAACAAATATGGAAAAGAAAGCAATGATCCACAGACTAGAAATAATATACACAGCAATCCCTTAAAAAGGGTAAAATGGGGATTGAAGTAATCACTAAACCATTTTATTAATCTCCAATGCAAGCAAAGTGATGCCCAAAACTCCACAACAGAGATTTCCCCCCCATAAATGGAATAAGAAGTGTCGGATATCCAAGCTATGTTCAGAAAAAAGGGGCACTAGGGATCATATTACAAGCATGTTTTAAATAATGGTGTTCACCAAATAATTTCAAAAGAAAATTCAGCCTCTTCATTGTAGATTATATCAAAACCTAAGCTGGAATGTGTGCAGAGGAGGGCAACTAAAATGATCAAGGGTCTGGAGAACAAGCCCTATGAGGAGCAGCTTAAAGAGCTGGATATGTTTAGCCTTCAGAAGAAAAGGGTGAGAGGTGACATGTTGGCCATGTATAAGTATGTGAGAGGAAGTCATAGGGAAGAGGGAGCAAGCTTGATTTCTGCTGCCCTGGAGACTAGGACGCAGAGCAATGGCTTCAAACGACAGTAAAGGAGATTCCATCTGAACATTAGGAAGAACTTCCTGACTGTGAGAGCCATTCAGCAGTGGAACTCTCTGCCCCAGAGCGTGGTGGAGGCTCCTTGTTTGGAGGCTTGTAAACAGAGGCTGGATGGCCATCTGTCGGGAGTGCTTTGAATGCAATTTTCCTGCTTCTTGGCAGGGGGTTGGACTGGATGGCCTCTTCCAACTCTATGATTCTATGATTCATTGTTTGTGTAGATCATGAAAAACAATGGATCACTCTCAAAGAAATGTGTGTGCCTCAACACTTGATGGTCTTGCTGAGTAACCTATACTCGGGACAAGAGGCTATTGCCAAGAAAAAAGACAAAGAAATGAAATTGGGGTCAGCCAAGATTGCAGTTTATCACGTTATCTTATTAAAAGCAATTAGAATGCAGAAAAGATTAAATGATAGCCAAAATGAATAGAGTTAGGCCAAAGATGTGGTCATGATATGGTCACCATAGATTGGAAATAACTCGAAGGCACACAGCAGCAACAACAGTGCTTTTTTGCTACTTTCCACTTAAAAAAAATTGGGGCAGGGGGAATTGGCTTTATTCTGATCTTCTCTGCCTTTTGGCAATAGATTAAGAAGCTAGCAAGACGGCAACAGCAACAGCAACAAGATCAACAAAGCACACAGAGGCTCAACTCTGGTAGGTTTTGTCCTTCCTTCAACCTTTTCTATAATAAGAATTATGTATCATCCTCTCTCTCAAAACCCGACTTGCAAATTGCTGCTAAACATTTAAGGAGACATCAATAGGTGCGGCTGGAGGAACACATGCATTCCTGGCTCTCCTTTTTCAAATTTAGGTTCTGTATCAGAAGGAATAATGGGAGAAGTAGAGGGAAGGGAACCAGCCCTGAGTGGTTTGTAATGTTAGCATCCTTGTATACCCCACAAATACCAAATAAACTAAGGAGACTCAGTTCATCAGTTATGTTGATATGGCATAGGTCATGCTTTAATGAAGATTCACTTTCTGTGAGCCATATTTTTCATTATTGTGCTTGGAAAAAGTTATTGATTTGGCCAGGCCTCTCTGAGAACCATATGGCTCCGATCCAGCGTACCTGTCCGAACGTATCTCCTTCTATGTCTGTGCTGGTACGGCTGTACCAGAAGCTCCCACTTTATTTGCTTTGTATCAAATGTTTGCTTGCAATCAGGGATTCTGCAGATAGGTGGCTTCCTTTGGTTGCAGTGATAGGGCAAGTCACCTGTCCATCATCGTTAAGTTTTGGTTCCGCCCCTTGCTCAGGTCAATTTGGAAGGGAAGGGAGCCATTTTTTAGTTAGTCTCAGCAAAGAAAGCTATGTACAGGACGTGTGCAAGCTTCCTCTGTACAAAAGCTTCAACTTTTAAGAATTTCCAGGGAAGCATCCCCAAAGCTTTGAAGACTTTCCGGGGGAGAACAGCCCTAAAGACCAAAGAACTCCAGCTGGAGAATATCTAAGCCTTTACTGGTAGGTCCACTCAGTGCTTCGAGACGCAGTTCGACCTGGTAGCGGAGCCCACATCAGTAAGGGTTAGATTACAGTCAGCCTGGGAGAAGTTAAAAAGGGTTTTTTTTCATTTAAAGTAAAGAAGAAGTTATTAAAGACAGTTGCCTGTCCTTTGTGGGCAAGATTAGGAAGTCATCAGTTGCATAAAGCCTGGAAGCATTTGTTTAGCTTTATTGAAGACAAGAGCAGTTTCTGTTTGATTGTTCATTAATAAAAGACTTTGTTATACTTCACAAGCCATCTAAAAGTCATTTGTGGTGGAAAACCTCTGAGAACTTCTCATTGGACCCCCTGGCTTCCCACTGGGCAAAGGTTGCATGTCCTGTTCTAAAGGAAATTCTTTACAGGCCCAGCACGTGACAGAACAATGTCCCACCTCAGAGTTTAAGATCTTATAGGGAGGCCCTGCTCTCAGCCCCGACTCAGTCTCAAACATGCCTGGCAGGGACGAGGGACAGGGACTTCTTGGTGGTGGCCCCCTGCCTGTGGAACTCACTCCCTGGGGAAATTAGGTCATCTTCATCCCTCCTAACCTTTAGAAAAAAGTAAAAAACATGGATGTGGGACCATCCCTTTGTGTAATTAAGAGGACAATGACAATAACAATGTTGACAGTGGCTTGGAAATGGATTATGGATAAGTTTGATGGAGCATCCAACCACAGTTTTTGGCTAATAATGGCCACCAGAGTGGTAATTCTTGGTAGATTTTAATTGTATTGTTTTAATTTATAATTATTGACTATTTGTTTTTATTATGTATATATTGAGGCATCGAATTGCTGCCGATTGGAAGCCACCCTGAGTCCCCCTTCCCCCTCCCCCTGGGGGTTGAGAAGGGTGCCGTACAAATATTCGAAATAAATAAATAAAAATTCACTTAATCTTTACTTGCTGATCCACTTATCTGCTGATACTTCACTAAAAAAGAACATGTTTTTCAGAATTGATAGTTGTGTTTATCCTGAAGGCAGGATTTCTTAGAACAGGATTGAGGATTGTCATTGAGAAGTAAAGGCGTCATTAGGGGGGGAAAATGAAATCTGTTATTTCAGTAGGTAGTGCTAGGAGTGGGTTGAATACAGAAATCAGTCATATAAACATGTGTCTTTGACTCTCCCATGTCTTTCAGTCCAGACAAACAATGGCAGCAGCAATGGCCTTGAGGGAATCGGGAACTCATACAGTACATTGCAACTATCCTCACAGCAAATGTTGGTGTTTGATCAAAGCATCTACAACACAGATACCTTTCAGCAAGGGCTCACTCCACCACAAATGCCAGGAGACCACATGAATCCTTATGGTAAGTGCTGAAGAACATCAGATTCTGAAGTAGTCACGGTTAATTGAAAATTTAAATATGTATACCTCTGTCTCTGTGCTCCCACACTTTCTTTCTGGATGCTCAACTGAAATGTCTCAGCTGGACCTAAGAGAACACCTCAGCAATACCAACATAATGTCAAAATGTTTAAAGTGTCGCCATACTGCGTGGAAATTTCAATTTGAGATTTTTCAGAGGTCATCTAATATGATGTTTATGCTGCCATTAAAGAGCTGAGCTTCAAATGGTGGCATATATTCGAGTATAAGCAGACCCAAATATAAGCCGAGGCACCTAATTTTACCGTATTGACTCAAGTACAAGCCGAGGGTGGGAAATGCAGCAGCTACTGGTAAATCTAATAGTAACAACAATAAAAATAAAGTAAAATAATAAATGTAATAAAATAATAATAGAGTACAATAATGTAAATGTTTGTTTGTTTGTTTGTTTACAGTATTTATATTCCGCCCTTCTCACCCCGCAGGGGACTCAGGACGGATTACAGTGTAGACATGAATGGCAAACATTCAATGCCAATTTGACATACAACGTATACAGACATACACAGAGGCTATTTAACTTTTTCTGGCCGCCAGGGGAGCTGTCGCTTTCATCGTTCATCTGCGACACTGATTAAGTACAGTATATTCTGGCGTATAAGACTACTTTTTAACCCAAGAAAATCTTCTCAAAAGTCAGGGGTCGTCTTATACGCGGGTGTAGTCTTATGCATGGGAGTCGTCTTAACTCTATATTTTAACTGGAAAAGTTGGGGGTCGTCTTATACGCCCAGTCGTCTTATATGCCGGATACGACACTGATGAAGTACTTCCGCATTCCCCGCATGCTTTTGCTGGAGTGCTTTGCTGGAGTCTTTTTTTATGGCCTCATAAATTAGTTAAATTTAGCCTCCCCACACAAGGTGGTACCTAATTTTCCTACTTGACAGATGCAACTGTCTTTCGGGTTGCAAAGGTCGACAACAGGCTACAATTGGTTGGAAACCCACTCCAACCCGGGCTGGCTTCGAACTCATGACCTTTTGGTCAGAGTGATCTTAATGCAGCTGACACTCAGCCAGCTGCGCCTATAGATCGACCACATCAGCTTTATGCACAGAGGATAGAGCAGAGATAATAATAATAATAATAATAATAATAATTATTATTATTATTATTATTATTATTATTAGAAACACAACAAGATGAGTCCACAGCAGACACTCTGCTGGCTGTTGTACTGGATCACACGTCGGACACTTCACAAGTCTCTAGGACTGTGTGATGTATCGTTGAATAATGCGTGCAGATCCCAGTAAGGTGGCCTTCTGCAGCTGGCAGCAAGCCTACCCTTATTATTATTATTATTATTATTATTATTATTATTATTATTATTATTTGAAACACAACAAAATGAGTCCACAGCAGACAAGATCACTGTGCTGGCTTTTGTATTGGATCACACGTCAGACACTTCTCAAGTGTCTAGGACTGTGTGATGTATTGGTAAATAATGCATGCAGATCCCAGTAAGGTGGCCGCCCCTCTCCTCCTCCTCCTCCTCATTATTATTATTATTATCATCATCATCATTATTATTATTGTCAAACTACTCTGGGACATCTGAATTCAGACTGACAGAGCTTTGGAACACAATACTCCTGATCTCACAATTGTGTTAAAAAACAAAGTAAGGATTGTCGATGTTGCAATCCCAGGCGACAGCAGGATTGAAGAGAAACAACTGGAAAAGCTGACACGATATGAGGATTTAAAGATCGAACAGCAAAGACTCTGGCACAAGCCAGTAAAGGTGGTCCCAGTGGTGATCGGCACACTGGGTGCAGTGCCTAAAGACCTTGGCCTGCACTTAAACACAGTCGACGCTGACAAGATTACCATCTTCCAGTTGCAAAAGGCCACGTTACTGGGATCTGCACGCATCATTCGCCGATACATCACACAGTCCTAGACACTTGGGAAGTGTCCGATGTGTGAACCAATACTACACCAGCAGAGTAATCTTGTTTACTGTGGACTCATCTTGTTGTGTTTCTAAGGACTATTTCAACTAAAAATATATTTTTTTCTTTATCTGTCCTGAAGGTTCTGAACCTCTTTTCTATGAGCCAGACAGTGATGACATCAGCAACTTGGATGAATGCTTCTCAGAATCAGCTACAGAATCGGGAGCCTTACAGTCACGAGTGGGGAACCCCATTGACCAGCTGTACTCCATGCAGAGCTCCTACTTCACAACTTGAGACTCTTGAAGCCCCAAACAGACCCAATACTGAGTTCAGTGCAGATGTCAAGTAGAGAAAAGACTACAATTAAAATCTAGTTGTTTCACCAGGAATCAACATTGCATGGGAAACCAAAAACTGATGATAATTTGATGTATTTGGTCACTGATAACTTCATTTGGAAATTTCTGTGAAAACCAAGAACATTTGAGGGCATTGTTTCACACTGCTGTTCTCTATTGACTGACAAAATCAGATAAATAATACTTGAGTTTAACACTTTGATATGTTAAGAAATGTGTAGAAGAGAACAAAAATGCATTTTCCTTTGTTTAAGACTATGTTGCAAAATGAAGTATTTTCAGTTTTGAGTGGATCTGCAGAAATATTCCTCATTTTTAATTTTCAGATAAATTTTCAAAATAACATTTTTATTAGTCAAATCTCCATTTTGTTTTCAATTCTTTTTGGCTACCGTGTCATATATATCAATGCAAGAATGACACCAGAAAATAATTTGAAGTCAGTTAATATTTTACTTTTTTTTTTTTTTGTCGTGTCAGGAGCAACTTGAGAAACTTCAAGTCACTTCTGGTGTGAAGAATTGGCCGTCTGCAAGGACGTTGCCCAGGGGGCGCCTGGATGATTTGATGTTTTTATCATCCTTGTGGGAGGCCTCTCTCATGTCCCCGCATGAGGAGCTAGAGCTGATAGAGGGAGCTCATCTGCCTCTCCCCAGATTCGAACCTGTGACTTGTCGGTCTTCAGTCCTGCCAGCACAGGGGTTTAACCCACTGTGCCACTGGGAGCTCCTTGGTGCATATTTGACTGCATGCTAAGAACAAGTGATTGAAATTTAAACAAATACATGAGATTATTTTTACAAGGGTAACACATTTTTTGCACAACTGAAGCATGTTTGCGCAGATATAGAAAACAGGAAGCTCTTTAAGTTTTCCACTTTAATATTTGACAAGCTTCACAAGAAAGAAAAATAGTTTTGTAGTTAGATGCATGAATGAATATGTATGCACATATGGCTATGTGCATGTAAATATATAAGATATAATGCCATCAGGTTTGTTCCTAATGATAGAAAATTGCTGCATAGTGATTGTGCTTAAGTTATGGGAGAAAAACGTCCATATGATGTTTATACAATGTCACAATTTGCAAAGATTTAATAGCAGAGAGGAGGCGTAATCTCTGCTGATAGTAATATGAAGCTTTCTATTTCCTCATTTGTTTTGAAATGGGAATCCATCCTGGAAATTTTAGCGTACTGATCCCTCATGCGTGCAGGTGAGCATTATTAAAATCAAAGAAAATGCTGCCATTGACTTCAGTTGGATTTGGGCTACAGCCACGCTTAGCTCTTTCCTGGGTAAACGAGAGTCATGAACCATCAATTAGTAAAGGAATTAACCTTATAAAAGCACAGTTCTTTCTATTTAAATGAACGCATCTTTCAAAACAATATAAAGGTTGTTTCTAAAGGGTCACATAGATTTTGTGTACATTTCCTCCTGTTAACATTTGTGAATGTTATACCTGACTTAGATACCGAATGAAATTAAAACAGCGACGTGAACAGAGCAACGGTTTCTTGGTACACTAACCATAATAAAACACTAGAGATCCCACACATCGAGGCTTCTTATTATTGTTTCATTGCAATACGAGGGTTGAATGAAAAGTAATGCCTCTACCTTCGTTACTTGGGTTTGGATAGGAATATTTTAATAAATCAAACGCAGAAATAATCCTTAGACAATTGGATACTGTTCTGGAACGGCTGTTCCAGGGGCTCCAATTTTGTGCTTTGCACTGAGTGTTTGTTCATAGTCCTAAGTTGCAGGGACTTTGCAGATAGGTGGCTCCTTTGGCTGCATTCATAGGGCAAGCCACCTGTCAATAATAGTTAGGATCCCTGGTCCTGCCCCTCTCTGGTTTTTTGGAGGGAAGGGGCCATTTTTCAGTTAGTCTCAGAAAAGAAAGTCAATGCAGAGGATGTATACCGACGTCCTCCTGTGCAAAGGCTTCCGGGTGAGAACAGTCTTGAGAGCCTCTGAAGATTCCCAAAGGTTCCGGGGAAACAGCCTTACAGCCCTGAGGAATTCCGGAGGGAATCACAGCTCTAACCATCAAAGCAGCTAAGTGATTACAAGCCTTTTGATAGGTTCGCTCGGCGTTGAGACATAGTTCAGCCCGGTAGTGAATCCACATCAATAAGGTTTAGGTTCACAGCAGCCTGGGAGGAGCTAGAAAGGGGAATTTTCCTTTAAACAAGGTTTTTGAAGATAGTGCCTGTTCCCTGTGAACAAGATTGCAAGAGCCAAGAGATTGTTAAGAAAGTTTTACAATTCCTGTTTGTTCATCAATAAAAGACTGTTATATTTAAGCTCAAGCCTTATAAAGACTGTTTAATAAGGGAAATTTCTCTAAAGGCTTCTTTTCGGGCCTCCTGGCTTCCCGCTGGATCCAAGCCATACATCCTCTCTTAAAGGCATTTCATTTCAGGTCCAGCGGCGACAGAACAGATACATACAATAATACTACAAAGGTTAAATAAAAAATAATGCCCCCACCTTTGTAACTCCTCAACAGATGGCAGTACTAGTATGTGGCAGGTACTGGCTTATTTAGTAGACTCTCCTATACAGTTCCATTTTGGCAGGAAGCCTTAATGGTCAATGTGACTTAAGCAACATGCAGTAATTGAATTCTTGACAGCAGAAGGTGTCACCTCAACATCTTTAAACTTACTTGCCCAACGATGCACAGTACTCACATCAACACAATCACCATAAACAGCTTGCATTCTCTGATGAATCTCTTTTGGGGTGACACCTTCTGCTGTCAAGAATTCAATGACTGCATGTTGCTTAAGTTGCATTGACCAACCGTCGCAGGGTTCCATACTTTGCACTTTCACAACACAACCGTTCAATGCTAAGGCTTCCCACCAAAATGGAACTCACCACTTTGAGTCACCTGAGGGCTGAGAAAAGCGGTATATGAATAAAGTAAGTAAATAAATAAATAGAAGAGAGTCTACTGAACAAGCCAGTACCTGCCGCATACCAGTACTACCTTTTGTTGGGGAGTTACAAAGGTGGGGGCATTACTTTTCATTCAACCCTTGTAGTAGCAGTAGCAGCAGTAGCAGTAGTAGTAACAACAACAACACTAGATGTTATATTCCACCCCTCTCCCCTAAGGGACTCAGAATGGATTGCAGTATTTACAGGAGCCATGGGCAAACATTCAATGCCTTATAGTCACCTACAATGGGACACACAAACACAGACAAGGCAAAGTCTTCTCCTTTTTCATTTCCGGCTTTTGGAGGCGGTGCTCAGCTTTGGTTCATAAGAAAGAGGGAGTTAGGCAAGCTTCCTGCTGCTCTGGAAACTAGGACTCAGAGCAGTGCGTTCACATTACAAGAAAGGAGATTCCACCTGAAAATTAGGAAGAACTTCGTGACTTTAAGAGCTGTTCAGCAGTGGAACTCTCTGCCTCAGAGTCTGGTGGAAGGAAGCTCCTTCTTTGGAGGCTAGGTAAGTATTTCTTACTTTTAAGGGCTTCTTTTGGGAGGCTTCAGGGGGGCTGCATGTCATCCCAATAGTTATTGGGATGGCATGTAGAGACACCCCATTGGAATGCCCAGGTTTTGGAGTGTGTGTGTTCACTTAAACGCGTGCTGAAGCCCCCCAAAAGAAGGAGCTATTCTATCCCCAAATACTTTTAAGCATCTATATGAGACTGTTGGAAAAGATTATCCAGAGGCATGGGGTGCGGTATTAACAGTATGTTGATGACACCCAATTATATTTCTCCATACCTTCAAAAACAGCCTTAGCTCAGTACAGTGCATCTCCTCTGAATGAATGCTTGGAGGGATAATGGGCTGGATAAAGAAAAGTAAATTGAAACTGATTCCAGATAAAACAGAGGTGCTTACTCGGCTTGTTTGATCAAAAAATAGAATTGGTTCAATACCCTGGTGGTTCGGATCTAAAGTCAATTCTGATTTTCACCAAAAAAAAAAGTTCAAAACTTTTCAAAACTTCAGAGACTTCTGAATCCTTCGTTAATGATTTCAAAGTGTTATTTCCTGTTTCATTGAGTGGTCTTTACTTTGAAAGTAGTTGTTTTATTCCAAAAGCGGGGAAAAGCAAGCAGAGAAACATTCACTGTAGTTTAAACTGCTTCTCTTGCCCAAGACTGATGTGGAAGGGAAAGGAAACGAAGAGAATCCATCCACACTGGTTTAAAAAGCTGAATCATTTCCAACTCACTTACTGATTCGTAAGAAAAATGGCGGAAAAAGCTTTGGAAGGGCAAAGGGACTTCTGGTTTCCTTAAAAACTTCAATATCGTTTAAAAAAGGAAATCTTTCTGAATTTATTCTGAATTACGAAGATTTCGACCAAACCTAACCATGCCTAGTGCTTACTATTAAGGGTTCTAACTCTGACTTGGAGGTATGCCAGTTAGTTATGGATGGGGTTACACTCCTCTTGAAAGACTGTCCACAGCTTGGAAGTACTCCTGGATCCATCTCCAAATGCCAGTCAATAGTGCCTATTATTAGTTTCAGCTGTTACATTAGCTGTGCCCCTTCCTAGAATAGGAAGATCTAAAGATGGTAATGCACATGCTGGTAACCTCAAGGCTAGAGTTCTACACTGATCTGCTAGCTCTGTACCAGATTGATAAAACTCCTATTAGTCCAAAGTATGGCGGCCAGGTAGGTTACAGGTACACCCAGGAGCGAGCATAGCTGACCTATATTACAATCACTCCACTAGCTGCCAATTAGTTTCTGAGCAAAGTCCAAACTGTAGGGTTTTGTCTTTAAAGCCCTATGTGGTTTGGGTCCAGGTTATGTGAAATATTGCCTTCTCCTGTACTATCCACCCTGTACTCTCAGGTCAAATTACGGCCCTTCCACACAGCCCTATATCCCAGAATATCAAGGCAGAAAATCCCACATTATCTGAGTGGGGACTCAGATAACCCAATTCAAAGCAGATATTGTGGGATTTTCTGCCCTGATATTCTGGGATATAGGGCTGTATGGAAGG